CATGGGCCTTTTTAAATACCAAAAAGACCCAGTGCAACTCATGAAGACAGGCTGGAAATAAAAATGCTCAAATCTTGAGCTCCCCTGTGCCACAGAGAGGATCCTGCCTTCCAGCCAAATTTCTACTCTTCCTTATTGGCTATTGAGAGTTCCTGGTCCCCTCTCTTCCCCTGGAAACTGTCATCTCAGAAGCAGGTCTTCCCACCCTTCACTGCTCTCTCCCATGAACTGATTCAGCTGCCCAGAAGGTTTTAGTTTTCTTTAGCATCCCCTGACCTACCCAGTTTAAGTTCAGCTCAGAACAGAGAGTTTAAATAATACAAAGCATCAGACACCTAACCTGCACAAGGAATTATCTTTGAATATGAAAAAAAGCATACATATGAAGCTGCAAAATAGTTTGTTTTCATACTGCCATCAATTTAAACACAGTGTTCCCTGAGAAATTGTTAATTTCAAGCTATATACTGCAGTAATAGGCACTAACCAAACATTTTTTCTGACAGGTAATTTTCTAGATCTGACAGAAGCTAGAACACAATCCCTCAGAGAAACATTAGCTTTCAGGATTGATGAGAATGAGAGTAAAGTATGAAAGAGAGCAGGCTAAACTCCATTAAAATCATGGCAGAAGCATGGATTTTACAATATATTAATTACATGATGTAATAATTTCTTTAACTGAAGTTGGCAAGTAACCTAACACAAGAGCTGAAATGCTGTTTGGATATTCAGCTAGAGAATGCATTGAGTCCATTTGTTTTCCTGCTAAAATGTCATAGCAAAGGAACAGCCCAGGATCAAATGGGCATAATTTGAAACATCAGTGGTTGTGCACATTTCACATTATGATCACTCTTCAATGCAAATATTCCAGATATGGTTTTCTGCTATAAAATTGGAGGCTGCTATGCTACCATCAGGTGAACCTTTGCAACAAAAGAGTTTACAGGCGAGCTATTCTAAGTGGCATGCCCCTAGAATAGTCAATCTCACTCATTCATAGAATCATAGAATAGCTAGGGTTGGAAAGGACCTTAAGATCACCTAGTTCCAACCCCCTGCCATGGGCAGGGACACCTCACACTAAACCATCTCACCCAAGGCTCTGTCCAACTTGGCCTTGAACACTGCCAAGGATGGAGCAGTCACAGCTTCCTTGGGCAACCCATTTCAGTGCCTCACCACCCTTACAGTAAAGAACTTCCTCCTTATATCCAATCTAAACTTCCCCTGTTTAAGTTTGAACCCATTACCCCTTGTCCTATCAGTACAGTCCCTAATGAAGAGTCCCTCCCCAGCAACCTTATAGGTCCCCTTCAGATGCTGGAAGGCTGCTATGAGGTCTCCACGCAGCCTTCTCTTCTCCAGGCTGACATGTTTTAAGCCTTACTGACCTGATTTGATTAGAGGAGTTTTTTTCTTTTAATTCAGTGAGTGTTAGAAGAGCCACTTGCCTTCCAGTGACAAAAATGTATTTTTATTCCACAAAACAGATTTCTATTTGCTTATGGTTTATTGTAACCCATGCCTTCTGCAAGTTTTTCCTTTGGTCCTCCCTCTTTTGTCCCTTTCTTAGTCCATGTGTAAGAGGTATCATGCAAAAATAGCACTGTGAGAATTTACACTACTTTTCTGACAAAATCATTTCTTTGGCAGCTGCACATTCTCGGTTGTCCTCTGGGAAAACAGGTGCTTGTTACAAACATAAATCATATGTTTTCTGTCACACACAAATGTTAATTCTTGGTATTTTTCTGTTATGATGTAATGGGAGCAGTTGGTAAACTGGACTCTGATGTAACCCTACTGTATCAAGTATCTCAGGCCAGTTAATGCCGCTGTGATACTTGCCTTGCTGTGCTGGTATATATGTCACTTTGAAAGCGTCTGGAGGGTTGGATAGGGATTAACAGGCTGCTGCACATTTTTAGCAGCCCAAATAGGAGCTACCTGCCAGCTTATATCCGCTCTAAACTGGCTTTGCCTGTAGGCTCAGAGACCATTTGTCAGTTTGCAGTGTCCATAAAATGGGCTTCATTAACCTGTTGTGTCATAACCTCATTTCATTTCATCACTCACTTTAATCATGTATGCTGACGTATTGGTGGCTTTGGAGGGTTTTCTCCTTCATTAACCTTCCAGTAACAGCTGCAATAAAGCCTCAAGTGTAGCCACAAGTATTAATTTCTTATATTCTCCTATACATAGCATAGATGTTTCAGCTTCTGTTGAACTTGAAAATGTGGCTTACTAATGGTATTAAAATCCACATTCTGCCTTGTGAGGTCAGATTTCAGCTGGCAGGATAGTGTGCACAGTTGACCCTAGTCCACTTGTGCTGGTTGTGCCATTCCTTCCTCACAGGTCTACAGATTGCAGTTCACAGGAGGACTGAAACGCCCATCTCAGATGGGCATTGCTGTGCATGAACGTGGCTCACTCCGGCTCCCAGACCTGTGTGCCCCCCACCTGATTTTATGGGATAGGATCATTGGCTGAGAGAAAGCCTTTATGGGCAGGTGTTGGGCACTACAGGAACTTCTTTTCCTGCAGCTGATGGGTCTCATGGCTCTGCTATACCTGGCGGGGAGGTTGCACTGGGGAGAAATGCACCCATGAGAGGTTTGGGCAAGCAGGGTTAACGGATAGCAGCATCACTGTACCAGTCTCCCAAGGCACGTTTGCAAAGCTCCTGTTCCTTCTGTGGAGCCAACCTGTAGCTCCTACAGAATTAGGAAAGGGGCATTTCAGGGTCCTTTCATGTCCAAATAATTTTTTCAGTTGCCCTCCCACAGCTATGTTGAGCACAGTAATTTTTCCCTATCACCACAGTGGCTTACTTTTCTTCTCCTTTTTATGAAACTGCCTGCAGCATATACTGCTCTAATCTTTCCAAAGCACTTCACAAAGATGATAGAGGCACTCAGGGGTAATCTCTGTGAGGCCAGTGAATTGGTCAACACCAAAGCACTGAGAGACATGAAACGAAGTGACTGTACCCTGCAGAGGGAGCTTTCCTCTCATTTGGAGGCACAGTGACGGGTGGACACATGAAACAAACCACAGGAGTTTGCAAAGTATCTGTCCCTTATTGAAGGATGCCACAGGAGGGAGTGGATTAAGGAGAAAACTGCAAGCAGGCCAAGATATTAGTCAGTGTAGTGTGTGAAGAAGGGGGTACGGGGGAAATCATCAAAAGGGTTGCTTGACCAAGGAGAACATTTCACTCTGATGTATTTTTTATTTCCTTGATATCCAAAGTCCCTGTTTGTTTGTTCTCATCTCATTACTATTGCAGTGTGCAAAGCTTGGCAGAAGACTTTCTCATTTAAACGGAAAGTTGAAGTGTCCATGGAGCTGCAGTGTTTATATGAAAGAAACTTGGAGCTGGGAAAAGTCAAAAAAGTTCAGGAGTTCAAGGCAAATAATTTGTCTTTTACTGTAGCAAAAAGGAAATAATTGTCATTGTTACTTTAAAGTGCTTGTGCCTAAAGGTCACATGTATGTAGATCATAGTTTCCTTGAATGGCTTGCATGAAAAATGCTCTCTGCTGGTTGTCTCTGTCCCTGTTTAATCAAAGCCATGAGCACTGGCATTTGTGTGACAACAGATGCCAAACTCAGAGTTTGAAGTCCAGACCTGTGCCAAATGCCATGGAGAAACTGCTTGTGCATAAAAGTAAGTGATCAGCGAGGATGCTCTACCACCTCAGCACTGCCTGTACCTGCCACAAGGTAAGTCCCAGGTCACTCTGTCACAGTTTGCTAAGCAGTGTGCTTTAGGAGGCTTGTTAGAGTGAAACTCCGGCTGCCTGTAGACAGACATAGGAAGAGGTCTGTACAGAAAATCAGCAAGGGGTGGGCTGTGGCTAGAGAGTGGGAAAATCAGGCCATTTGGCTGCTTAAAAGGGATCTATGGGAGCTGCCAGAGCAATGCTGCAGACTTTAGGTTGGAGAAACAGAGTGCAGTGCTCCAGTGTGGTACAAGAGGAAGATAGTCAGTGACTAGTCAAGCCTAACACTCTTGCGAGGGACTTCAGTGAAGTGAGTCCCTGCCATCACCATTAGCTGGAAGGTTGATGTCTTTCACTACAATGAGGTTATTTCTCCTTCTTCTCGCTGTAAATAATTGCTCTCCCCTTTTATTCTTGTCACATTGCCTTTATTTCCCTGTCTCGTGTTGAGGCTATCATAACAAACACAGGGAAAGCCTGATAGGAGGGGCTCAATCTGCCTCAGGAGGGACAAAACCAGCCCAGTGGAGGTTCCCAGTGAAGTGCTTTGCTTCCTTCAGCTGGGTGCCACCACAGGGGATGATTTGCTGCCCTGGGGTGGGAAAGTACAAGTTGGTTGGGAACAAAGAGGCACACAGGGACTTCAGTGCAGCCAAGAGTGTGTTGCTCACCAGGAATACTTTGCTGCCTCAGTTGCATTAATTCAGTCTCAAATGTTTTAATGATGACTACAGCCTGCTTGGTGACAGAGGCCATATCTGAAATACAATCATGAATGCCTCAGTAAAGACTGCAGATAGATACTCCAAACTGACTCACTTAAATCACCTGTGATATGTCTCTTCAATAATAGGACATCCCATTTTTTAAACAGTGTGGTTAAGTCCAACTTTACTTGGAGCACACTAGACTGGACGCTGCTTAGCAGTCTAAAAATACAATTCAAAAAACTTACTTTATTTCTTTCAAGCTGTACTGGAAATTATCTTCCCTTCTTTTTAAATTAGCAATTATCCTGCTGATGAAGTAACTTCATAGCTGATTCCTTCTGCTACGATAAAGCCACTTTACCAGGCAATGATCCCTCCCTGGAGTTTTTTACTGTGACACTTTTTTTTTTTTTTTTCTTTTTTTTTTATCAGTGTAAGGTTTTTCATTAATTTCATTTGAACTAAACCCCTGCTGGTCTTCTGTGAAAACAGACAAAAGTACTGCTTTTTGGTAGCATATCGGTATGCTCCCTGTTTGTGGGTGTGCCTGTGAGCCTGTAGCTTATGTGGTATCGCCCTGGTTTAAAGCAAGTTTTCTTTTTGTCAGAGAGATACACACTCGTCATTAAAGGTTTCTGCATGTAGCAGTAATAAGGCTATAAGGAAATCTGCTGTCTTCGGCTGTCCACAGATTCACAGACTGTATTAATAGATAGGATTAGTGAAGAACAGGTCAGAAGGCTGCAAAGCTCCTGTCCCTTGAGATTTCCTTCTTTAGATCATTAGTCTCATTGAAGAGCTCTCTTCAATACAGGGAGCAGAAACTGAGGAAAAGGCTGGAGCCATTTTATTTCCCCAGGACGCACTAAAGAAAGGGCAATTTCTGGGTCACAATCCCTGCTGAAAATGTCTGTCCAGTTTTCTTCACAGGCACCCTGGAGGAACAACAACATCAGTTTTCTGAGCAGAGAAGCAGCTGTAACAGAGCAAGGAGAGACTATCATAGGTTTCTACCTACTGGCTTTAGGTATGTTCTCAGCTTGGTTGTGGAAGGAAGCTCCTAGAGTTTGGTGTCAAGTTCAAAATGATTCATTTGGGTTTCATCCCTAACGGAACAGGACGTTAGAAAATGCAATTTTTCAGCTATTAGAAGACCACAGAGGTACAGCTTTCTTTTGTTAAAAGGAGATTAGTAACCAATGCAGGAATCTTGAGGGGAAAGAAAGAGTAGTCAAGCCTGTAAACTTTAATGTTCATTAAACTTAATATGTAGGAAGATTTTAAAAGTACCCTACCAGAAGTATGTGATATTGCTGTGTCTTCTCGTGTCTTGGTAGCACTGAATGTTCCGTGATTTCCAGTTTTGACTGCTGAAGGTTAGTTGGCATCCTACAATTACCTCCTGCAGAGACAGAAAGTATGGTTCTGTATGTTCAACTTCTTTTTAACTGTTTTCAACATTTTTTAACTATTTGTACTGCTCTTAATTTAAACATTTGATACACATAGAAATTAACTTTTTCAAACAGGATCTGTGAAAGATCTAAATACTAGAACATTATCCTGCGTTAGCAGCCACAATACCATGTGTTTACTTTGGTCCTGCTACAGGGCAGCTGTTGTAAGTATATAATAAGGATTTGAAAATGGCACCCAGTATGAACTCACTTTGATCCCAACGCAATTTTGACTTGTTTGTTTAGATATTGTCTATGTGGGGCTGACTCATTGTAGGGTACAAGGAAACTTTATGAAATTCTAAAGAATGCATGGTTGCTAGGTAATCAAAGTTTCCAGCCGTTTTTCCTCACAGGAAAATACAAGAAAATGTAAGAATTATTAAATTTGTTCTTCTAAGGAGCATATATAAAAATATTTCTCTTTTTAAATGATTGATCTAAACAGTTTTTTTTCTAAGCTTATTACATATTTCAAGTAGCTTACTAGGTCTCAGCTTGTCCTTGAGAAAGGTCTGTGTAAGTTACAATATAAAATGCTAAGTATTGTAACAAGTTTACATGAGACTCTTTTTGCCTATAAGAACTAGTGAGGAAAAGGTTGTCTTTAGAATAAAAGCAGAGATTCTAGTAGAAAAATATATGGCTTCTATCTTAGGAGACTTAATTAGAAGAGTGGCCATAAGATAAATCAGACTTGTTCCAATTTATCCCCAATCTGTTCACATCTGCGTATCCCTTCATGAATGGCTGGGAAATGGCTGCAGCATCAGCTAAAGAATTAATCAGTTGCATTTAAGACTAGAAGGAAGATCTTAGGTCAGCAAGGCCAGTCGCCTGCTGTGACAATATATAATCTCATTTATGAACCTATTATGCTCTGTCATTTGGCTGGCTAGGGTTCTTTTGGTGTTGCTACCACTTTTCCGATTGACAGCCTGTTCCTGATTGTGTTTCTCTGTTGGGTAGGAGCCTTTCCATATACACTTAGCTAAAGTGATTACATCAAATTTATACTGGTTTTGTCACTCCATTTTTTTCCTTTTTTTTTTTTGCCTGCAGTTAACACCTACAGCCAATCTGTTTTCCTGAAGGAGCAATCATACCCTGTAATCAACCTTTGCGTTCCTATATTAAGCAAGGGTTGTTGGATTTTAGTTTGGTTGTTTAGGTTTTTTTCTAATTATAATTTATTTATATATAATTATACATATTTACTATACATATAATTTATTTAGCTCCTGCCATAATATTGCTATCTTTTCCCCTGTCATCCCAGCCTATCACCTTTTACACTGCCTTTTACATCCTGGACACTTCTTTTTTTTTTGTAACTTATAGCCAGGGCTGAATGCTGCACTCAGGCAAGGTCTTGCCATCTCCATTCACAGTATTTACACTTCCCCAGCTCTACTGATCCCTCTTAGTGTTGCCTCTTGTCGTGGTTTAAACCCAGCTGGTAACTCAGAAGCATGCAGCTGCTTGCTCACTCCCCACCTTATTCATCCCTCCGCTCCTGGAGGGATGGGGAGGAGAATTGAAAGAATGTAGCTCCCATGGGTTGAGATAAGAACAGTTTAGTAACTAAGGTGTAACACAAATCACTGCTGCTGCTACCACCAATAGTAATAATGATAAGGGAAATAACAAGGGGAGAAAATACAACTGCTCACCACCCACTGACTGATAGCCAGCCCTACCCAAGCAGCGATCTTGCCCTTCCAGGTAACTGCCCCCAGTTTCTATACTGGGCATGACGTGCTGTGGTATGGAATACCCCTTTGGCTAGTTTGGGTCAGGTGTCCTGTCTCTGCTTCCTCCCAGCTTCCCCTCTTCCCTGGCAGAGCATGAGACTCAGAATGTTCTCCGTTGGAGTAAGCATTACTGAGCAACAACTGAAAACTTTGGTGTTATCAGCGCTGTTCCCAGGCTGAAAGTCAAAAGCACAGCACTGCACCAGCTGCTAAGAAGGAGAAAAATGACTGCTACTGCTGAACCCAGGACACCTCTGCATCACACTGGTAGTTCAAAATCCTTCTATTAATTGACCAACAGAGGTGTTTGCTGCTTCCTAATGGTTCCACACCTAGCAAATACTTTTTAAAGTACCTATGTGCCTGAGCTTTTAGGTTGTTTATTAGGTTTTGATTGCTACAGATCCTTCTGGCAAGCTTACAAGTGCTTGGCATGTCATAGCTGCTATTCTTGAAACTTACCTCTAGATGCAAGTCTCAAGTTGCACTTCTTGTGCAGTGTATGTAACCTGTCCTCATGTATTTTACTCCTCAAAGGTCTACTGCCGCACTTCTGCAAGCACCAACCATAACAATTTCCAGCTGTTAGTTTTATGTACACCAATATCTCAGTCTAGCTGGGGAGCAGAGATGTAGCAGAACAAAGTGCTCTGTTACACAGACACCCTTTTGCCTTTCTGGCAGCAGCAGCCAAAGGCCACTCTGTGTGTTACTTTCCCATACCTGCATTTCCATAAGGATGTGGAAAGACAATCTGCATTTGCAGTATTTGATGGGTACTTCCTTATACAAAGTCCCAGAGATGTTCATATTTATTACCGTGGGGTTTTTGTTGCCTTGGAAAACAGCTTCAGTGATTACACTTCTGATGCTGCTACGTGTTTTCTTCTCTTTTGAATCTGAGTACACCAGTGCAGTTCTTTGCGAATTTCGCTGCACATTTCCAGTGCCACAGGGCTGTATGTGGTTGATGTTAACACTTACCCAGAAGATGGGGGTCCTCTGCATCTCTTCACCTTCTCAGGATAAAGTCCAAGCAAACTTTTTTGGGTTTTGGCCAAGTCTTCCCGCAGTGGTACATCTTGACAGAGGACGTGAATATCCAAGAGCCATGATCTAACAGCTTTTGCTGAGATGAGGCCTCTTTACATGTCCCCTTCTGGAAATTCTCGTGTCATAGGTAAGGCAGATGTCATACGGGACAGACAAGACACTGATGTATGCGGCATACAACATACTCCAGCCAGGCTATAACAGATCCAAACAGGAGGGTCCTCAGCATACTGCATGGAAACCTGAGCTCAAAGCTTGTGCTGGAATAGGTATCACATGCTAATGTCACAAGCAAACCAGCATCAAATTGCACAAGTGCTTTTTGCAAATGCTGATGGATTTTGAAATCACTTCAATACTTCTTGGCACCCAACTCACCATTTCATCGTTCCCCTTGCTAATGCTTTGGCCAGAGGATCAGCAAAGTGGGGGAAAAATGCAATGCCAATCCCAAAGCAGTGAGCATCATAGTGTTCTTAGAGGGGCTGTCTGCAAGTGACAACAGCTACTGGTTTAGGTCAGCTGCCTCAGAATCCCCTTTCTGAAGGCAACACTCTGTTTTCATCCTTCCCTTCCATGAGCTCAGAACTGTCTTTGACAGACAAGTGAGAGCTTCTCCTACTGCTAGCATTTCATCTTTTTGCCTAAGCCCTGAGTGGCCTAGTACCATGGAAAATCCTTGTCTAGTTTAAATTATTAGGTGTGACTTAAAAGTTCTGTCTACAGCTGCTAGTTAAGTCAAACGTAGAGCTGGGGGAAAAGGTTAAACATTTCTTATTCATAATTATTAATTGGAATTCTCAAATAAATTGTTCCTTTCTGCATATATATGCAATTTGTTCTGTGCTCATTTCCTCTATTTTCACAGTTAACTGGAACTGTTAGAGTGAATGCTTGGCATAAAAGGAAACTTTAAGTCAGTAGGAGATAATTTATTAGAGAACAGATTTTGACTTTTGTGAGTGCTTATAACAGCAAATAACGCTGAGAGCATTACCAATCCCATTAGAAAAATGGAACAGACCACAAGACCCAAAGATGCTTTTAAATTGCATGCTTCCACATCATAATAGTAAACTGTTATTTGACAAGTGACAGAATGAGTGCTATTTTGGGACTTTGTTTGCCAGATTAATCTGAGAAGGTGGGAAAGGAAACAAGCTAGTCACAAAACATTCATCTACCAAAAATATTGCATTTATTGAACAAATGATCTCTCCACACTTTGTCAAGTCTAAAACACGATGACTCTTCTCCTTCTTGCCAAAATGGGCAATATGCCCTGGATAAGATAATGTGTATGTATAATTAGCAGTGAAGACTAAAAATGGAGCAGGTTCACTTCACAGTTGCAGTAGTTAATGACAGCTTTGCAAATTCCCTAGATTTTATCCCTGTTTTAAATAAAGCTTTCTAGTCTGAAAATCATTTACAACAGGCCTCTTCAGATAGACATTAGTGCTTGTGTGTAGGTAGTTAAATCAGTAATTCACTTCATTCATGCCTGCTCTATATATAGATGCTCAATCCAATTTCTGTCCTAGAGATAAAGTTATTTGCTGAAGGGAAAACATAGGTTGTCTTGTGACATGGAGCCTTCACCTTTTGCCCTCATTTATTGAGATTGTCCACTTAAAGGTCCCTGTATATTTTAAACTGCTGATGGGTGTGTCATAACACCATTTTTCTAATTCATTCTTGCCGGGCTTTACAAGTAAAAGCCAGGCAACTATGTCTAGCAAGAACAAGTCTAAGTACAAAGCATAATAACCTATCTTATCTGGGCACAGATGCAGTCATCTATTAGATGACTGGCTTGGAGCTATCAGTTCCCTTGTATCAAATTTAACTCTGCAAAACATGAATTGAATGTTAACAATAAAGTTGCATGCATCCTTGGGTGCTTATTTTTTTACCATCTCAGGTATATGAGAGAAAAATAGGGGAATGGATGCTCAGTATGGAGCGATTTGGCAGAAACCTTTGCAAAACTGTTGTACTCCCTCTTAGCTATTCTTGAAGTTAAACAGTCTCTGTTCCCAGTCACTTCCATCAGAAAAATTTTTAATATCCCCAAACACTCTTGCTGGCTACTTTGTCAGTGTCTTCTTTGCTCAGGCTGGCAGACAGCATGCAGATACGGGACTTTGTTTGATAGGGTTTTGGTTCCTGACTACCACCAGCTTGTTTGGCAGGCTTCCTGTGCCTCCCCTAAAAAGCATGGATAACAGCACCAACTTCCTTTGTGGAGCACATGCAACATCTGTGGATTTAAATGCTTTATTAGGGTGTATTATTCTATGACAAGGATTACTACTGAATTATATAAGGGCAATACAACATTTTTAACGTTGCTGTCCATCCTATTCCTTCTACCTCCCGATGTCTGAAATGTAATACCAAGTACTTTTCTGTGGGCATCAAAGGAGAAAGGTGATTCCTTAGATGTTCAATGTTTAGCATTCATCAACACTCATTTAATTGATGGTTGGAGAGCTGGAGCACCTCTCCTGTGAAGACAGGCTGAGAGAGCTAGGCTTCTTCAGCTTGGAGAAGGGAAAGCTCAGGGGATATCTTAGAGTAGCCTTTCAACACCTAATGAGGGCTTATAAAAAAATCTGGAGAGGGACTTTTTACAAGAGTACATAGGGATAGGAAAAGGGTGAATAGCTTTAAACTGAAAGAGGGGAGGTTTAGATTAGCTATTAGGAAAAGATTCTTTATTATGAGGATAGTGAGACACTGAACAGGTTGCCCAGAGAAGCGGTGAGTGCCCCATCCCTGGCAGCTTTGAAGGCCAGGACCAACAGGGCTTTGAGCAACCTGGCCTAGTGGAAGGTGTCCCTGCCCATGGCAGGGGGTTGGAACTGGATGATCTTTTAAGGTCCCTTCCAACCAAACCATTCTGTGATTCTATGATACTGCCAGTCTCATAGTAGCTATTCTCAGTCCTGTCCTGTGTTAAAAAACATCAGTAATTATACATGATCTGTGTTTTGCCACTTCAGAAGGTCCAGAATCTCCTGATGAGCAGCCATATCAGACAGCATTCCAGCTTATGAAGAAAATGTGGTGATTCCTCTCTGAACCTTATGTCGGGTTGAAGTGTTCAGTTTCTTCCTATCTGCTGTTTTTTCTCTCTCAGCGACATTTTGACCTCTGTTGGAACCTGTCCTTTCTCACCAGGATCGCCTTAGGGTGCTGGTGTTAGATTTGGGGTCTGGGTTTTATTTTTTTATTGTATACTCTTGTGAGTGGCAACTTGCAAATAAGAAAAATGAAACAAGGTTCCTCAGCTGTTTCTTTTCTATCCACTGTTTCTTTGAGATGCCACCTGGTGATAACAAGGCCTTACAGCACTTCCAGATCCAGAGGTTTCTCTCTGGGCTCCTGACCTGCCTGTGGTCTACTCTGAGGCACATAACACCTGCAAAGCAGTTGAAGAGATCCCTGCCTCGCTGAGGGTGTCAGAGCTATTGCTGGGCTTCCTCTGCATGGCATTTTCAATTTTTTCCCTGTTGCGATGTCAAGGTTTGGGGGAGGGAAGACGTCTGGTTCTTTTGGTTGGACCACTGGTTTTGTTACTCTGCAGTTTACTGAGGATTGGGTTCCTCCAGGTTTCTTGTCACAGTATTAATATGGTCTCCTGCCCAGACAGATCTCACGTTTTAGGGACTGGCTATGCCAGTGCCGGTTCTCCACCTGTTTTGGTTGAAAAGATTGTGCCTACCTGCAGAAATCATACTTGCTCTGTAAACTTATCTCCCTCAATGCTTCCATCATCCCCAACCTCAGTGTGTGAATGTAGTTCCAAAACATTTTCACAAATACTGTGTCTCTCTCACCTCCAGTTAAAAAATATATTGTGTTTTCAGAAGATGTTTTGCTTAATTTCTCCCTTAAGATACTTTGAGTGAAAACTCCCTTACCCTCCAGCCTGGGGCAATTGGCTGTGCAAGTTCCCAGGAGGTGCAGGTGTCTTTCACTGTAAGAGTAGCCCTCTTATCCAATACACTGTGTTGACAAAATTTTGCTATTTACAAAGGAGATGCCATTTTATTTTGTCTGCCATTTTAAAAGCACTGTGTCTTCGTATTGACAGGGAAAATATTTCCATGCCTACTGCCTTGAAAACTGTCGTACTTTACAGAAGGTAGAGCTGACATACACAAGCAATGCAACCATCACGTTTGCACTGCAAACTACCCTAATGCATTCTCAAAGCTGCCATCCTGCAGTGTCCTGCTCTGCCTATTTATAATACTTAACCTCAGACAGAAGTCAGAAATGATTCCTGACTTAAAGTGCATGCAACCATTCGAAATGAGACTTGATTAAGAAACATTGTCACCTAGTGGCCAGGATAAGTTGAATTTATTATTGTTGATCTTACCCTTATAATGAGATATATATAAAATATATGTATGTATTTCAGTGTATCATTGCACCAGAGACTATTTCTGATTAATACCATATGTCAACACATCATCTCTTCCCAGTTCAAAAGCTCTTTAGTAAATTATGTTTCCTCCCGTCCCTTCCAAGCTGAGGCAGCCAAGCAGCAAACCACCGGGTTGCAGACATATGGGGTTGTTAATGCTTCCTGAAGTAAGGCAGCTGCCCTCTTGCTACAACATCAAACCTATTAGCCATCTTTCATCTTGTGAACTCCTTTGAATATCCAGAGATGCTGTGCAATGCCATCATGCTGCGGGCACTCAAAGGAGGTGGTGTTCTACTCTAAGTTACCAAGGTAAGGTGAGGCCACCTATGTCAGCAGTGGCAGATAAGAGACAATGGGGAGCTGGTGCTGCCCAACCTGCTGCCCCACTCCAGCAGCTGCCCTGGAAACATCCCCTTTACTGGCTATACCCTATTTTCCATACTGAGCCTGATGCTTATGAGTAAACATTTTGTTGAAAGTCATTTGATTCTGCATGCCTACATCATTCGAAAAAGGGGGATGCATACTATCAAGGTCTTGCACTGGTGGTGGGACAATAGCCTTGCGCATTGGAAACTCTAGGTCTCTCCAACAAGAAATAGGCTGACTCTTGCCAGATTTGCAGTTAGCTCCCTTTCATTTTCTTCATGTAACTAGATGTGTACCTGTCAGGCATCTCTCTTCCTGGACAGTAGGAGAAAACACTATTTTCTTTAAAAACGAATAAGGACTTCAAAGCTTTCAAAAAGTCTGTTCTAAATGTTTTCTTCATATAAATTCTCAGCTGAAAAATATTCCTATCAGCTTTGCTGCAAGGAAATCATAGAGTGTTCTAAGAGAAGAAACTTAATCGCATTAACTGCACTTCGAGACAGAGTGGTAAAGCAGCTCTCTGACTATGTGTATGAACTTTCCATGTCCCTTGTCACATACAATGCACCTAAACAACTTCAGCTTTTTGCAGATTGTTTGTAGTCTCTGCTCTGCTCTACCCATCTTTCCTCCTTCCTTTTTTTCCTAGCTGTTACTTTTCATAAGTTTCATCTATTTAGTTAAGAAAAAACCCCACTTCTCTAGGCCCTTAAATGGTGGATCTTTGACAAATGCAGCAGCAGCTCTTCATGTTTATTCTGTTTTATTGCCAGATTTACTCACTCATTTCTGCTTCTGAAATGTACCCAGCTACTTAAAAAGGCTTCATGCATAGGTTTTCCAATGGATAATCTGGTTTAATATGTTTTTAATGGAACAAAAAGAAGAGACATCACGCATTTACATACTGAATTGTTTCTTCCCTTATTTGCTTTTGGATTCATAGATTTCTTTTTCTTTTTTTTTTTTCCCAGGTTGGCTGTCCTGGTTCGGAAATAGCATTGTGATTTTTGTTCTATATAAACAAAGACATCTTCTGCAGCCCACTGACTACCTCACATTTAACTTGGCAGTGTCAGATGCTAGTATCTCTGTGTTTGGTTATTCACGAGGGATCATTGAAATCTTTAATGTCTTCAGAGATGATGGCTTCATTATCACATCGATATGGACTTGCCAGGTAAGACAGGATTACACTTAATTAGACAAAATAGGTGTAGCTATGCGTGTGTATATGCCGTATATATATGTCTACGCTGGTTATTACCAGCCAGGTCCAAAGGGGTGAAAAGAAGCACTAACTGACCTTCCAAAAGGACAGTATTCTTTTCTGTTACACCCATAAATCTATGCATTTGATGCATGTTTGAACAATTTTCAGTGTTTTTTTCTTTATCTATTTGCAATAGTTCGTATTAGTTTGGGAATTTACTTCATGACATAGCTCCCACTCATGTTGGAAAGCTAAGGTGTAGGCTGTGTTTATTTTCAGCCCCTCTGAAGTCAACCTGGTTGTTTGCCTTTTAACATTTGACTTAAAGCAATGTAAACTCCTCCTTGACAAGGCACGTAGAGCAAAACTTCCATGCAGTATGTAGGTATACCTATATATTTTAGCATACATCATCTTGTACTAAATCAATTGCCACTCTTCAATCTTACCCCTAATTCTTGGTTCGTTTGCTACCTGTGGTAGGATGAGTGACTTAACTCTATGGCACAGTCATCTCTGAACTTGGAGGCAGCTTTTTGTTGGAGAACTCAGGAAATGTTATTGGTGTTAATTCTGAAACACACCTGCATAGTCTGAAGATAAATACATCCCATGGATCGATAGTTACATGTCTGGCTCCCTGGTGCTTTCAATAACAACTGTGAGAAAGTTTATGATTCTACTTTGTGTGTCTGTTTCATGAGGGGATCAAAATCTGAAAATGACAGGATAGCCTATGGTGGCAGCCTTACAGCTTTCTTCCATGGTGCCTCTGCCTGGGAGTCCCTCTTTGGCTGACCAAGCTATTTAGAGTCTTGTTAAAATGATCTGCCTTTCTATTTTTTTAGATGTAGAGAGTCTGGAGTAGAAGTGTGCTTGAATTTAATGTGACGGAGGTGAGCTTAATCTTGCTGTGCTTGAAATGCCTTTGCAAGGAGAGCAGTCAGTAATATGTTTGGGGTACCAGGTAGTTTGTTGGTCAGGGTGCGTTAAGTAATCTTATTTGGATCCCCCAGTTTTAAACATAATTCATTTGTAAAACATGGACATCAAGAAAAGTTTTAAGGTATTGGGATCCAAAGATTTTGTTCAAGACATTAATAATGCATTGGCTTTTCTAAAGATTCTGATTTCAAAAATGTTAACGTTTCTCCTTTGGTAATCCTCTGTAAGAGTTAGCATTTATCATTTCAAATAGGAACTGATACTGTATTAATGGTAACCTGGAAAAACCATTTTGTACTCTGAATTAATAGTTTGAACTGGTTGTGACTTGTTGAGAGAAAATCATGTAGGATTCCTGTTTGCATCAAGATTTTTTCTGTGCTGGGGTGGGAGGGATGCCTCAAAAGCATGTTTAAACCCTGACATCCATCTTCTTGATTATTAAGCTTGACAAAAAAGAAGCCAGGATGAAAAAGTAACTTACGGAAATAGAGTGGTTTAGGGTTTAGGAAGAATATTGTGCAGAAATAGTAGGAAGCTTCTGTGTGTAAAAAGGATGTGAATGTTTCTGTGTGTGTGTGTGAACAGCCAGCACAAAGGTCATTCTAAAAATGTTCAACATTGAACAGCAGTAGGGTTTTGATTGCTTGGGTTTTAGCATTTATAAAATATAACACATTTGTAATTCTACCAGAATGGGTCTCACATCTGGAACATGAGTGAGGAGCATGGTGCCAGGAAGGTAAAGCCCATGCTTTCTGTCACATCTCTCTGAAGTCAGTATCTCTTGTTCACCTCGCCACACTCAAGCTCCTCTGCAAGTAGCTGGGATGAAGATTTGAGCTGTTGCACACATGAACACGGCTCTTTCCTTAGCATGGCCCATGTGTTTCCCCTTCCTTGGTTTGTTTTCCTGAGTCCAGAGGACAGACTTACTTGTCTTTCTGTCATTGTCCATTTCACTACACATTTGCTCTTATTCGATCAGTCAGCTTCTGCTGTCAGGTGTGCTTAGGGAAACTATTTTCCCAAGCTAGCCTGTCATTTCTGTTCATGAAGAAATGTCATGAGCTCACCTTACTTAATCCACCTAACTATTTTCCTTTTCTCTGTCTCTGGCATCCTTTTGTACCCTTGGGTAATATTTGTCAAAATTAAGGTTCACCATTCTTGGCTGCCCCACTTAGAGGGAGTGGGGAGAAATCAGGCAGAGACTACTTCTCTTTCAAAACAGCTTAGTCTGTGAAAACGCTCAGTAACAAAAGATGCATCTCCAGCTAAAAGGACCATTTCACAGCATACTTGATGAATAGAGCAGAATATGCGCTCCTGTTCTCCTCTGAATGGAAGAAATGCCACTATTCTTCCCCATGCCAAACATTATTTTTCTCTTTGGAGGTCTGACAGAGCTGTTCTCTCACGAACGAGGTCGCAGGTAGATCTGTATACAAATGATGCCTCTGCTAAATGCTGTGTATGGATTTAGTTTTCCAAAGGTGGCTTTTAGACTGCTTTCACCTCTTGTTTATCCCTTCCCTGATTTAACACTGTGTTTTAGTCCTGATCTGAACAGTTAGTCTCTAACACGTAATTGTTTTAACCTCTGGTAATATTATCAGTAAGTGAACTAGTTTATATAGTAAAGTTCAAGTCAGGGAATGCAAGCTAGTCACCAGCTGCCATCTGTTCCCCTACTGACCCTATTTCCAGTGAAAAGCTACCTCAGGATATATTTTTGTCCTCCTCATATGTTTTTTATTCTCATGTTCTGCTGAATTAGAATTTTCACTGAAACCTGCAAATAACATTATGTACAAATGTTCTACGTGTAGAGAAACATTCATACTCTGCAGGTAAACACCACAGTTTCTTCTAAATATTATTAATCAACCAACACGAAGTTTTCCTTGTATTTCTTGATCATAGAATGGTTTGGGTTAGAAAGGACCTTAGAGATCATCTAGTTTCAACCCCCCTGTCACAGGCAGGGATACCTTATACTCGACCAGGTTGCTCAAAGCCCTATCCAGCCTGGTTTTCATGTGGTAAATACAAAAGATGCAGGCTTCAGGAAGACTCTAAATACAGGGGAAGGATTATAAGCTATCTGATCCCCACAGGTGCATTGCAGTCATGTCAGAAGCGCAAACGTGGGCTGTGGGGTGCCTTAGAATTTGAAATCTTTCATAATCCTGGTACTTCAGTTTAAGCTTTGTTCCACTAATTTACACTCTTTTTTTTTCTTTCTTTTTTTTTTTTTTTTGTGGTTGTTATTTTGACATTAGTTTTACAAATACATAAGAATTTTATTATGCGGGCCAAGAAAATGGACTGCTTTTATGTACTCTGTTGGTATAAGCTTCTTTCTTTCTTTAAAAAAAAATTGCTTATTTCTGAACTGTTTCTTATGAATAAGATGTAAATCGGCTGTGCTTAGCAGGGGATGGTGTAGTTAGTCTTCATGCCACAGTACCATCACAGACGTACCCATGCCACTGACATGCTGACTGATGCTATTATCACAGATGCACTCACCTCGCTAACAGTGTGGGTATCCCCAGTCCATCTGGCCAGGCAGATGGTGATAGAGCATCCCCAGCCAGATTCAGCTCTGACAAAACAGCCTCAGGAGGAACAAAAAAACCCCAACAATGTTCAGCTTTGAGGTATTAGTGAGCGCCACAGTAGCCTGCCTGGCAGGATTCAGCCCATGCTGCCTCTGTCCCTGCAGCCTGCCCTCACCATCCCACTAAGGGCCAGGCTGGAAGAACCTGCCTTCACCCTCTTTGGTTGAAGCTGCATTGTGATGTGCAGAATAATAAAGCCACCAAGGGGAGCAGAAGAGAGACTGAGAAATGACTGTTTCACCCTGTGGTTTGGTTTACTACATAGCAGTGAGGAAGCCTGATTTTGAATCCTGCAGTGCCTAATGCTTTGATGCTTTCTATATTTATTTCTGTCTGGCATACCCTGGACAGAAACAACTGTCAGCGCAGTGATCAGCCATAAGCCCCATACTGCATGCATGTACTATTTTACTTGGTTATGCCTAACGCATCTGTGCACAGTATGCTTGAGAGCACCAGACCTGTGGCATATGTGCAGCTGAAAGGGCACGGAGTGGCCAAGAGGTCTAAAATTCCCTAGATGTGCTAGACTTGGTGTGTGTCCATTGAGGAGTACATGACCCATGGAAATGTCTGTGATTTCTTGCACTTTAGCAGACTTTTACAAATCATGGTGGTGTAGCTGACCAAGTTGCCAGCTGAAATCCCAGACAGATGGGGATCTTTAAGAAAAGCTATGCTAGACGGGCAATAGCCCTGCTTTAACAATGCTGCTGTTGGTCAAGGAGGGTTGCCCTCCTGCCGGTTGGTGTCTGACCGTTCATGTAGGGAGTTTCTCTTTGCCTCTGGCCCTGGTATTTGCTCTAAAGACAGTGGAGCATCCCCACATGATGAATAGCATTGGGGCTTATGTTCTTAGGCAGCGGATGTGAATCTGAGCACTTTTGATGGAGAAAAGTAAATCCAGCTCTCCCACAGTGACCCTGCTTAATTTTCTAAAGGTCTTCCACAGGTAAGGGAAGGATATGGCTGTGAATACTAAGAAATGAGAATTTTTTGTGGCCTGGAATAAGGTATTAAAAAACAAAAGGGAGTTGAGATATGCCCCTCATCTTGTTCTGTTGGCTACTTCAGGAGCCTCATTTGCTTACCCACTTTTCCATGTTTGATCTAGGAGCCAAACTTGGAGCCACAACTTTCCTTGCACCATGCAAGTGACCTGCAAAACTGAGCAAGGTGACCCTTACCCTCTTTTGTAGATTCTGTTTCCAGTCACTGCCTCTCACTAGTACATAAAAAATCCAGCATTTTTTGATGTTATTAAATGTTTAAGGTTTTGTTGTAACAAAATGTTCTGTAAATTGTCTGATAAATCAAAAACCCTAAAGGCATTTATGTTGTTTTATAAATAGAGTAGGTTTGAAGGACATCAATTTTTGTCTATCTAATATAACT